GAAGTGTGCCGCGATCAACATCAATACGGCATATCTTTGGGTAAGGTGCATTTTGCACACGTTTTAGTGATCGATGATGCCAAAATTTACATCTTTGACAAAATTAACCTTACCTCCGAGTCTGAGCCGCGGCCCAAGCCTAAGTCTGATCCTCTCCATAACCAGAACATTTTTCATTCAATAATGAGAAATTGACAAATTCTTACAGTCAAAAATCACACAGCACACAGTTATCAACACAAATTCATTAACCATAAATCAGCTCGCATATGGAGATAGAACTTTGAGAATTATCTTTAGAGTAAAAATTGGAATCTGATAGAATCGGCACATTCAGCACTCACATGCTTTAGACAAGTGAACGAGTTGATGATGCGGTCATTTTGGATGTTCATGTTGGCTTGTCTGAACCACTGCACTCCCTTGAAGACAGCCGCTACTCCTTCAACGTCAGCAAATTTATGAAATCTTATGCACTTTGATTAAAGTTTCTGATGTTTTCTGTACCTCTGATGTCACAGTTTTCAATAGTTTTCATCGGAAAGCATCGTATCGAGTTGATTTCATTCTGGGACTTCAGAAGCCACTGCACCCACGCAAAGAAGGTGCTGTTCACGAAATCACCAGGAAGGAATACAAAATCGTTCGACGGTAGGATACCTGTCAAAGCCCCGGCAAAAAACAGTGCCGAAATAACTGCGAAAATGACACGAAGGTCCTTGTTGAATATTATGACGCTGAAAGCCAACGCATTCACCAGAAACAATACGAAGCCAATGGCAACATAGCAAGCACTTTGCCAATGAACACTTGCAACATCGACCATTGCTGAAAGTTTGAAGTTACTGGATAGCTGAAGGGTCACGATTCATTCAGTGTTCACGACGAAACCATCCTCTCATTGCGAGATGCATCGATAGTGATAACTCTCAAAGGTGAACATACACACACAGGCATTCGTTTGTACACTGACACAAGATGTTGGTTCGGATAATCTCACAGCGGTCGGTATGAACTCAAGCGGAATGTCCTTCAACCAGCAATAGCTCGGGTCAAGCTCGGATAAATTGATCGCCGAAGGATTCGAAGGATTTAGGAAATGATCACATGAACAGCTGCTTGAACTACTAGGATTACGAATGAATGAAAACGAGAATATCATGTAATACGTTAGTATAGTGGAAACGCAACAGAAGTTATAGCTCATTAAGGCAAATAGGCGTATCATACAGGAGTTAGCTGAATGCTTCACTCGAATGACTGACTGATTTCAACAGTTAGGGTTTTTTCTCCAAGTACTCAACGATATCAGTATTGCTGCGAATTTTCTCATCGGAAATTTGGTGTTCGTGAATATTCGAAAACAAAAAAAAAGCCAGAGTATACGATAAGGACGGAAGATAGTTGAGTGTATTTTAATTAAACATTTGAATCCGCCTGCTGAAACTTCATCATTCTATGGGAAAATATATTGAAATGCTACGAGTAGATCAAAGGCATCGCGTTTAATCAATCGTTTGATAGCTACTGACATAAAACATGATGAAAAAGCACTTTTCATTCACGATCACTAATGCTTTTTGTATTTTTATGTTTTTATAATCGGTTGCTGATTTATGTCTACTATGTCTCAAAAGACTGTCACAGGCTGCTTCCCACAAGATCTTTCAACCTACTCACGTAACATTCCGAAGTAAAAGCACCTCATTAAGAAGACAAACATCATCACAAAACTGACACTGGCTTATGGCATCACTCATATTGTGCATGTTGCAGTTGCCATAAAGGGAAGCATCTGCATCCATGATATGACCTATCTTCGAGTGATGAGCTGATCAAAATGGAGACTTAAGTAAGAGACTGATCCAAAAAAAACTGCTCATTTTTTATGACAAAATGAAAACGTTTCCCACTGGAATTGTGGTACTGAAAAATTTAAGCGAAACGTCCATGTGTTCTGCATCAATATTCGTATGTGAAGACAAAAGTTGGAAAGTTTATGACAAATACGTTACTACTTCACTCAATACTTCATTTCATCAAACAACAACATCGAAACACTACAAAACGATTTGCATTCAAACAAAACACCATTCGAATACTATGGAAACCGATTGCCTGCCGCGTGAGTTCTGTTTCATTTGAATAANATCAATCGAATCAACAAAGTTGAATACAAAAACCAATAATAACACAACAAAAGAGATCACGTACTGACGAATGCAAACAAATTTTAAAACTCAGCACCACAAATATTGCAATAGCGTATTTTGTGAATCCACAAAAATGAGAGAAGTCCACAAGGAAAACAAAATATGGAAAGAAGAATTGCGAAACAAAGATCTGCTGGTTGAAATGCCTTCTGGAACGATTTATTCTGCAAGAAAATCATTCAGATTCACAATTGTGGTGATTGTTTGAAGTGATCCAATGTTTCGAAACAGAATATACAGCATTAGAGTCTATTATATAAGAAATATCAAAAATGTTCTCAAACGTAGCCATACTAACTTTAGCACTCATCCCCTCAGATTAACGCATGAATTTATAAATTAACTCTATCTTGATCGCTCAGAATGTTGTATATCAAAGATATCGTTAGATTGTGATGGTTTTGAATTAGCATTAGTATTCGTTGAAGTTCAGACCCCTTTGAAATTACTGACAACCGTCCGTCGTTCATTGAAATGCAACTTCATTGTATCGAAGCCACTGAAGTGGGTTTTTTCTAACGTGAATTCACTTCATATAGCATGGGAACTGCGCGTTTTATTGGGCAAATTCGTTATAAAGCACGTTCACATCAACTTCATCTGATCGCACTCATTGATTACCGTGAGTATTTGGAATTGGGACGGATTATTTAGATGTACTCGGCATTTGTAAACAGTTTGAAGAGATATGCATAGAGGCTAGTTGCTTGAGACCTATACTAGTGAGCTAGGAACAGTTTTGAGGTTTTTGTGAATATCTGAATGCGATTAGAATCTGAATTTGAAAGGAATTAAAGCAGAACCTTGCAAACCGGGCACTTTATTTCTTTTTTGGTAAGACCGCCTGAAAATGAAGAAAACCGCTTGCGAGTGAGGTATTAAGAAATTTTGAAATAAGCACCTAGAGAACATCAGTGATGAAAGTAAGCATTGAGCGTGCAGAGTCAAAGATTTCTGCTGATAAAAACACTGAATTGAGGAGCATTTAGCGAGAAATAACGAATTGTTTTTTGCTCATTCCTTTAAAGAATTTTGATTTGCGTAATGTTTTCGAGTCAGCTCAGTCGTCTAATTTCAGATGCAAGATTGATGCTCATCGAGAAGCAACAGTTTGGCCATGAGAGGGGGAACCCGTCAGGAAACAAACTGGACAGCGGGATCCCGACTGAACACTATGCAAGATACTCAAAAGTTGCATAGCTAAAAGAACGCCTTACTTAAGCCCTGTGGGGTTTGTTCAGGACGTTGCGAATTCGATGCATCCGCTTGATTTTCAGACTTCAACGAGAGTCGGTTTGGTGGTGATTGCGATTCTCTACCGCTGGAACGTGTTGATTTAGCCACCTCTGGCTTTTCCATCTGAACATCTTTCGATTTTATCACTGCCTCAACAGTATCCCTTCAATTGCAATGCACAACTCTTAAACAGATAATCCCATCGACAAAGTTACCAATAAATCTCAGTTCAGCGACTTGCATCTTATAATGATAGGATTGCCTCCATCTTTAGGCATTTGATCAACAATCGAGCAAAATTGCAATGCATGTGCATATCTTACGATGCGGGTACCATCTTTGAGGTTAGTTTGAACATGGAGCTGTGCTCCTTCATAATCTCATCAATGAGAATGACATGAGCCATCATGAACACACATACATCAATGACTTGCCCTCACTGAATATGTACGTAGTGCAATTGAACATTTTTAGAGATTCTTCAAGGAGGCTTATAGTGTTTAAGTGTCATGCAGGCTTAAATTTACAGTCACATCTCGTAATGCTCGTGTTCGTTGTCAGATCATTCTCTTAGAAAATGAAGAGCTGTGTCAGGAAAATACAGCGAATTGCTATTCATCATTCCTCACGCCTTACGAGTGAATGTGACGATCAAGGGCCACAAAACTCGTATGATACTCATAAGTCATGATCTTACCCTTTTTTGGAACACAAATCTATGGAAGAGGAAGCACGAGAATTGGCCTCCAAGAAGAACTGCAACGTACCGTTCGTTACCAAGGAAACACTGATTGACACGGTCAGTGGTGTTGCAAAGAACTGCAGAATGGAACTTATGCAAATATTGGTTGCTGTGGGTGTGCGAGCGAAAGTGAAGGTGTTTTTTGTTGGGATTAGTCAAGTTCGTGAGAATTTGAAGGCAAATGTGCATAGGAATGCAAATACGTCAACAAATTATGCACAGTATTAAAGATGATTTTATTGTGTAACATCAATAGTGAAATATGCAAAAATTATGATAGTATCACTTCGTTTAATGGCGACGGGCCGAGGTTCAGGGCTCTGAAAATGATCGATGTTTGTGTTGCGTAACATAAGTTTGATGAAAAGATGTATAGTCTGAATATTTCTAATGATCATAGAGGTTCTCATGAGTACGGTAAACACGACTGTCTTAGCCGACTAAATTCGAATTATGTGAGAGGCGATTTGCAGATTTTGAATGATGTACAACGTTGATGTAATTGCTGACTTATACAACAAGTCAAAACTGGAATCGGATTTCGGGATGGAAACAACTGTGCTCATTTTTCTCGACAATCATTAGCATGTTCGAACCCGATTAAAACCTAGACTTTGAAGATACTCAGATGTTTTTCACTCTCTCAATTAATGTAAAAGACGACTGTAAATTACAGTACTTGGAGCAAGGTAGTATCTGATCTCATCTTCGATCTTCGCGCGAGCACCTTTCAATGATTTTGGTTCACCAGGATACTCTGGATACATGTCAGCGCAGTGAGCAGTACCTGAAATGCACACATTCGTGACAGTCAGTATTGTTGATGAACGCTTAGAGACGCAAGAGCAGACTGGAAATTTCTCATAAACTGAGAATAGATTAGATTGAAATCGATTAAACTCTACAAGATGAATTTACTGGAACATTAATCGAATCCAATAAATTGTGCATAGCAGTCTGCAATAAAAACAATTGTTTAATGAATATACTGGTACATTAAACAGTATGAAACATTTGATTACGAGTTTCTTTCATCATGTTTAGCCGATATAAATTATGCAAGCCTAAAAACAATGCTGCTTCTGAAATTTCCAC